TTCGAGCGATATCGAACCCCTTCTGGAATGAGGACGTGGATGAAGTCCTTCAGAAGTGTGAACATCTGCCTGTTTCAGTAACTCAGCAATCAGAAGAACATTCGATGTTGTGCCATCACCTGTCATATCATCTTGAGCAGATCGCTACACGAGCAATAAGACTTGCAGTGGGATGCTGTATTTGCATCTCATGAAGGCAAAACATTGCCGTCCTTGGTAATCTTTGATGTCGCCTGAACCAGAAACGAGCCTTAAACAAATATCAAAACGGTACTAACTAGCTTACATTTTCATGGTCCCTTTAGGACCAAGGTTAGTTTTCAAAACATCGTAGAGCCCTCTAGCAGCTGCCAAATTAATACTGAATGCATGTCTGAGGCCTTTGCCAAACTCTGCTTTAGGATTAAGAAGAGAAATAGAAGCCATTGACTGAACCACCGCGCTGGTTTGAAATCAGCACAAACAAGCAACCAAGGTTAACGAAGCCTCTGGAAAATCGATGTACAATTCAGTCTTCAGTCAACTGCATCATAGAACTTCGTACATATATCAGTTCAAGTAATCGTACCACATTAGCACAGAGATCGAATTGCCAATTCTAATCTCATAGTAGCAGAAGTATTAGCAGTAATGAGGAATTTTAAGATTTGAAGATATTATTCAATAAGTATGATCCAAAATCCAATATCTTTTTCACAATCCAGTATAAACCAGTTAATTTCTTTGCGCTCGGTTCTTGATTTTTCAGTAAGGTTACAGGTGTTTGGTAGTGTCCACTGAATGGGGGTCTAGCCATTCGACTGTTTAATTCTAGTCAGTTTGCAGTTGGCTGTGAGTTTGTATGTCTCGGGATTCGAATGTAAACGTTTGCTTCAGGGCAGTAGTGTTTCTGGATCCCAACAGCTATCACATTACCAGACCGGAGACCAGTCAATTGCGATGTGAAGAATAATGATTGGAAAACTCTAATGCTAGTAAGACTTCAGAACTAAGTAAACAAATACATAATTTAGTTTATTAATTGGTAGTGAAGATTGTGAGAGAAGAAGTAAACAAGTGGGAGCGAACAGAGATGAGAGGCGAGATAGATTAAGTAAGTGATTTGAGGAGATAGCAATCATAACAACTAGCAGGTTCCAAGATATAAATCATGTACAGCATGAGTGATTATCAAGTCACTTCTTAAAGCTGTCCATTGAGCGAGCTGTGGTCACCTCGGCTGGGAGAACATTCCAAGTTGCGACGACTCTCAATGAGAAAAAGTGTGCACGGACCCGAGGATTCACTCTTTGATGTGCAATTTTTCGAGGATTGCCTCGAGGGGAGTGGTGGTGGCGCATTAGTAAGATGCTCATGTTGGGATGGTTTGGCGTAATCAATAGGTTGTACGCCATAATCAAATCACCTCTGATCCTCCTGTAGCTTAGTGGAAATAATCTCAGGTGCTGGAGTCTATCTTTGTAAAGTTTATTTTTAAATTCTTTCACCCATTTCGTTTTTCAATGCTCATTCTCCGATAGATGTGAGGTCCTGTTGAAGCTCAGCCGAGACCCATCGCTTCTAATGGACCTCAAGATCTTCCCATCGTCTGCGAAGATCAATGCCGGTATGCAAACTGGTCCTAACAAACCGTTAGTCAATATCAAGAAGATCAGTGGACCTAAGATTATCCCCTGTGAAACCCCCAAAATGTATACTCGTCAGCTTGCGTGCACACAATTTACCTTGGTACGAAACTAACTATTCTCAAGGTAGTTTCTGAGCCAAGATATGAGTGGATAAGTAAAGCCCATTTTCACAAACTTCGCGATTTGGCGTGCGTGGGATACTGTGTCAAAGGCTTTTGCAAAGTTGAGAAATATTACGGTCCAAGCAGGATATCCAACTGTCCCATGCAATGAGAAGATTAGATGCACATGGCCTGTCTTTCCGAAACCCTTGTTGAGCTTCACAGAATATTTTATTCTTATCCATGTACTCCCTCATTTGTTCGTCCGAAAGCAAAGTTCACTGAAGTGAATTTTTCTACATTTCTTAACAAAATTTGGAGAAGAATCCTTTGGATATGTTATTATCAACAATAATTGAAGAAACGAAACCGGCGAATTCATATATCTGATCATTATTGTATTAATAATTTGGAGTTTATTTCCCGCTGAATTTCAGGTGCTTTAATGAATTCTCGTAAGAAGAAGAAGCTAAGCTCGAATCTGGGCACAAGCTATGAAGAACGGCTGAATGAGGATTCTAATGG